ATAAGATGATGAGGTATGGAAGCATCTCTGTTCACTGTAGAATTTGCAATCAGCATGTCAGGATATTAAATTATAGCAAACAAGATCAAAGCTGGTGATAACAGAAAGGGAGATTTTCATCATCTGTTAATCAGGTTCTGAGACAAAGCACAGCAATCTGGATCAACAGGTTTCCCTTTGCTGTTTGAGCTTGGGAGACAGAGACGAATCAGCAGTGTCAAGTAGTAGTCCAAGCCACTGGACTGTGATTCAGGAGATTGGGTTCTATTCCCAGCTCTGATATTGGCCTGCTGGGCGACCTTGGGCAAATCACCTCACCTCCCGGTGCCGCAGTTTCTCCATTTATAAAATAGGATAATGATACTTACCTCCTTTGAAAGCACATTGACATCTGCCAATGGAAAGCTCTATAGAACAGCAAGGTATTATTAAAAGCCTGAAAGGATCAAATGCTAGATTGTCAAATGCTTTGCTGAACAAACTCAGGTTACTGATAAAGTGATTTTTCCTTTTTGCTCCTACTCATTGAACAATCTGAACCATTAGGCTCTAAGTAACAGCATCAACTGGTTCCCCTGCTCTTTACCAAGCAACAATACTGAGCACCAACCTGCCTAGGGCATCTGCTGCAGAGGATAACACATCAAGGGAACAGCGACTCAAGACGTATATGAAAGGCCACCAGGTGACAGCCTTAAACAATCCTCACTGAAGCCCTTTCCCTTTCAGCCCACAGCCCAGTAGAGTGGGTTTAAGTGCTGCTGGGGGAGAAGTCCCAACATCATATACAGAATACAGGACTTTGACCATCTAGCTAGGGCAGATCTGGAAGCTTTGAAACTTTTTTGGAGACACTTTCATACCCCAAATAAGGAGCTAAAATCTGATGAATTCCATGTAAATGAGACTTAAGAGTTTTGACCCTCTCCAAACTGTGCCAAAAGTCCTTCTGTAAGAAAGCTTGTAAGTCAGTTTCCTGACTGAGATGAAAGAAAGACCTTAACTTGAGCACCATCCCTGGAACTCTTCCTGAGAACTGCTTTAACCTTGTCGAAGACCGGAAGCAGTCATTTACTGGAGTGGACAGACCTCTCTCCAATATGCCTGAACAAAGGAAAAATTGCCATAGAAAAGCTGTTTTAGAAAAATGAAGTGTAGACTCAAAAGGGAGGAACAAGGAGACTTAAAAATATTAGTACTCTAGACTACAGAGGGACTGCAGGGTGAAAATGGTTTCAGATGGATAGAGCCTAAATAGAACATATGATATAGTAATAAGACTCTGCTATAAACCCTTCTACTTTCCTTCCTGTTGCCCTGAGAACAAGAATTTGACCGTAGAATGCTCAAGCCAACAACCCAAAATGCAACTCTAACTCAATCTTATAGGTCTTTCAAGCAAATTGGCCCCATGTTCAGAGAAATGTATGTGTCCAAGCAGCACTGAGAGAGCTGCCCACAGCCTATAAAGTGTGTGAAGAAAACTGGATGTCTACTAGACACTAGTCATCCCAGGGACAAAAACTGGTAATCCTGTATCACAACGGATGTGCCACTTAGTCTCCAAAATGCTAAGGAAAGGTGGGGGGAGAGAAAGAATTCTGAGGCAGAAGGAATGGGGGCAACTAGACAGATGATTTTAAGCTCCTGGTTAGGAGCAGGAAGTTGGAACATAAAGTCTCGCAAAGTCACATTGGAGTGGTGAGTTTAACAAGTATTCCATCTTTTCTTTTTAATCTTCTGAAGGATCCCTGAGATGAGGGAAAGGGCAGAAATCCATATTTCAAGCTCCCTGCCCATCTCATACAGGCAGCATCCACTGCATGCGCCCGTGGCTTCTTGAACCTGCTAAACAATTTGGTAACTTTCTAATTTATTTGAGTGTCAAAAGAATCTACTTCTGGCATCCCCCAGTCTTGAAGACCTGTGGCCTTGAAAGTCATCTTTGTGTGTTCTTGACTGGGCAACCTTCCTTTCTGCTATGCTAATGACAGCTTCCAGGTGAGAAATATATCAAGAAGGAGCTCGAGAACTTTCTTCCATGTTTGTCACAAATTCCAGGTTAGAAAAGAAACCAAATGACCTGGGCCACTGCATCTCAACTGGATGCATTGTAGGGAATTACTTGGATTTTGCTGCTACTTTTAGGGTCTTTGTGAGTAATCTCAGTGCTAGGGTATTGAGCCTTGCTGTAACAGGATGTAACAGACCCTTCTGCCTTGAAGGAGAGAGGATTCCAAGCCTTGGACTTCTTCATTTGGATTCAAAGAAAAGCAAGAGAGGCCATCGCAACTGCATCACCATAAGCCTTTCACTGAAAGAATTCTGGCTCATACACAAATGCAGCATTTTTTGCTTGCCTAGCTGGTTGACTGCCTCATAAGGAGTTGCAGGTGTCTGTTGGGAGCTTAGGCACAAGATGAATTTAAGAATGTGGGGACCAGTTGTCTGTAGAGGGAGTGCAAATGGGCAGGCAGGGAAAAACATTCTTAAGAGCAACCAATCACTGTTTTCCAAAATTGACCAAAGTGAAACTCCTTAGTCCACACTGTCAACTGTGCAGGAGCAGAAAGCACCAAACAGAATTTTACCAATCTAGAAAAATAAAACCTTTACAATGAGAATTAAGCTTAAGTAATTTGAGCCAAAAAGATTTTTTTTTCAGAACTGTAAGCACCAGAATGAATTTCTCTCTCCCTTCAGTCAACCATAAGGCTCTGCGATGTTTGCAGATCCTCTCTTCTGAATATCAAATCATTCTACACTGTGTGCAGCCATATCTAGTTGCCACAAGCTAAGCAAAGAGAGGACAGATCAGTACTTGGATAGGAGATTCTGTAGGTGATATTCTCCCTCTTCCTCCAGTACAGAGCCAACATCCCAAGCAATTATAAGTTTTTCATAAATCCTGATTTCCTGTCAAATTCCAATTTGGATACTAACATTCTGTTCCCCGTTCCTCCTTCAATTTCCAGTGGATAAACGATTCTTCTTCACATTCTGTCCTGAACTAGCATCAAATAGGGTTGCAGTGAGCTGTTCAACAGCTTCCGCCTTCAGGGGTTGCATTTTAGTGATGGGTGAAGCAATTCCCTATTTAGTTTGCCAAGCACTGAGAGAAACCTTGAGATAACTCACTTCACACAATGCTGAAATGCATCCAGTTCGAAGGTAGTAATAATAGCTACCTCATATAATGGTTTTCATGAGTGGATCTCAAAGCACTTTACAAAGGAGGTTGGTATCATTACCCCCCTTTTACAAATAGAGAAACTGAGGCATAGGGCGGGGAAGTGACTTGCTCAAGGTCACCCAGCAAGCCAGGAATAGAGTCCAAGTCTCCTGTCCCAGTGCTGTAGACTCTAGGCCACACTACCTCTCTAGAAGAAGACAGTAGCTTTTTAACAGAGCACAGCAAAGCTAGACAAAAGTTTAAGACAAGAAATAAGGAAGATGTTGTACACTAAAACGCCACAAAGAACTCGGGGAGCTGGGACATCGAGACAGAAATGGCAGTGATCCAGGACACAGGACTCAAGCAAAGGGAGCCCGGGAGCTTTTAATACCCACAAGTGAGGCAGTGCCTGAGTTTTATTCATGCCCTGCCCCAGGAGCACAGCACCCCCTAGGTTTCTTTGTTGAGAGAGAAATTAGCACACACACACACACACACACGCACACAGTCTTGCAACACTCCCTGCAGCACACCTCAGCACAGTGCCCCCTAGCAGATCACTGGAACAAAAAACTTAATTGGCTTCAAGTCTGACCTAATAAATTTATTGAGTTGATGGTATGATGAGACTGCCTACAATGGCATATAGCCAAACTGCAACTGCTAACAGTAAATATCTCCGATAGCTGGAAATGGGACACTAGATGGGGAGGGCTCTGACTACTACAGAGAATTCTTTCCCAGGTGTCTGGCTGGTGGGTCTTGCCCACATGCTCAGGGTCTCTCAGAGGTCCCAAATGAGTGGGGTGCTTCCCCTGGGGGGGGCATGGGGGAACATTGGAGGGGTGTGTGGCAGGGCAAGCCCAGCCCCCATGGGGGGGAAGGAAGGGACTGCCACCCAGCCCCTTCCCGCCCCCAGCCCCACCCCTAGCCAGGGCTGAAGCTGGGAGCAGAGTTGCACCCGGCCCCCACCGCAGCCCAGCTGTGGCGCTGCTCCTGCCTTGGTCCCTGGCTATGGCTTCGGCCCAAGATCCACCCCCAGCTGTGGCCCCCTTATGCCATCCCTGCGGGGGGTGGGGACAACCATCAAAAGCCTGGGCACCACTGGTCTGATTGCCATATTTGGGGTTGTGAAGGAATTTCCCACCAGGTCAGATTGGCAGTGATCCTGAGGGTTCTCTCACCTCCCTCCGCAGCATGGGGCACAGATCTCTTGCAGGTTTAAACTAGTGTAAATGGTGAATTCTCTGTAACTTGAAGTCTTTAAACCATAATTTGAGGCCTTCACTAACTCAGCCAGAGGTGAAGGGTCTATTACAGGAGTGAGTGGGCAAGGTGCTGTGGCCTGCGATGTGCAGATCAGACTCCTTCTGACCTTAAAGTCTGTGAGTTGGCACTGACCGAAGCCCCGCGTGGGGGTTTCCCTGGCGGAGGGAGAGGGGCCAGGATCCCAGGCCCTGCTTAGCTTGACAGCCTACTCGGATCACAGACCCCTGGTGCCCAAGGAAACTACCTCTCCCAGCATGCACCGCGCCGCTTTGCATATTGGGAGCTGCCTGCTCGGGACCCGGGGGAGCCCGGCTCCGCAATGGAGACCCGGGCCGGCTGTGGTGAGCGGGGCTTCCCTCCTCGCCGGGCCCCGGCCCGCCATACCCGCCTCCGGACAGCCCAGTACCTGTTTGCCTTCTTGGGGCGCTGGCTGCGCGGGCGGCAGCACCTGGACCGGACCGGCCGGCATGGTGCCTCCTCAGCGGCCCGCTGGAGTCTCTGCTTGTCCTGGGGCGGCAAGAACCGAACAGCACAGAGTGACCGACACCGCCGCGCACAAAATGGCAGCGACTCTCTTCCCCCCCCCCGGGCTGCGCGCGCAGCACGGTCGGGCTCGCCTACGTCAAAAACACAGGCCAGGCGAGGAAGCGGGTTGTGGCGGCTGCGCGCGTAGCCCCGTTGGCATGTTCTACTCTGGGGACGGAGAGGGGGTGCCCGCAGTCCAGCGATACCAGCCGGGGTTGGTACAGTCGTAAAGCATGCGCGCACAACTCATCGGGCTCGTGTCACTGGGATTGTTCCCAGCAAGTCAGTGTTAGTGTATTTCATAGGGAGCGAGGGCGGCAAACTCGGAATGTTCCACTGAGGGAACTGGGGGGTACTCTCGTGACGTTTCATTGTGGGGGGAGGAGCAGGAAGCGCTCCTAACATTCTATTGGGCAGATGGTTCACTTCGCAAAGAGGAGGGCCAGGGCCTGTGCGATTGCCATGGTAACCGGTAGCGCAGGGCAGGCGGTAACGGAGGCACCGAGGCTGCGGGTTCGCTCCGAGCCGGGAGACGGCGGCCGCTCGGCAGGTGGGTACCCCCTCCCCGGACCGTCCCGTCTCCCCGGCCCGGGCCCCGGGTCCGTGGGTTCCCCATCCAAGCCCTCTGCCAGGCTGGGGGCAGCGGGTGTTTGTCCTTGTCTAGCGTCGTGTAGCTAAGGATCTCTCGGCGTGTCTTGTGAGCGTGACACGGGCTGCACAGCACCTCTAGCGTGAGCGAGGCCTTCCGAGCTACGACTCCGGGTTCCATCCCCTTTTCTCTCTGGCTGTGACTGGCTCGGGATGTCAGCTCCCCCTTGTAATAATACCGTCCTCTGGTACCTCCCAGTGGGGCTGGGTTAAGTCAGTCATGTTTTTAGAGCACCTTGAGATCCTTGGTTGGAAATGGCTAGAGGCAGGCAAAGTGGAAAAGATGGGAAAAGGCACTGTCAATGCCAGTTGTTGCATGTATCACACACACACACACACACACACACACACACACACACACACACACACCTTACTTGTATACACGTGTGACGTGTAATACTTGTCTCTGACATATGTCTGCATGCCACTGCTGTCTACTGGATGGAATCAGAACTCCTCACCTATGTGTGATGCCTGGCACCTTTCTCTCTCCTGCTCTCTGCCTCTGGTAGGTTAGGCTCCTGAGGACTGAAATACTTTTTTCCACCTAGAGTCTTTGGGCTCAATAGAGGGGTAACTGGATGAACTTTAATAGTTCTGAGATTCTAGAGGTCAGACTAGGTTTAATGGTCCCTTCTGTCCTTAAACTCTATGGGACTAGTATCATAGGCTCTATACAACCAACACAGCTAAAGGGGATTCTGTTTATTTGGAACAACAGGAAATGAGTTTTATTCCCGCTGTTGTTGTGAAGTTCCAGTGGCACAGCATGCAGCATAATACAGCTGTGAAGTCTTAGGACTTGTTACAATGCTGTACACGGGGCCATAACTTTTAAGCCCTAGCAAAAGTGACAGCACTTTATCCCATAGTCATGAAGAGCTGAGATGTACAGTAATGAGTCTGACCTGCCTTGATTTTCTTTCCCTAGGGGATCTGCTAGTTAATTTGGTATTCAATGTTGTTGTCTGCTGCAGATCTATCCATCCTGCCAATGAGGGGCCTTTTCCTATTGGTGGCCTAAAGTCAGCTGACAGAATGGCATACCTGCTGGGCAATCCAAACTGTATGGAGAGCTTGAGGAAGGACATCACCGATCTACAAGGAGCCATCATTGATGTCTTTTCCCGGGCTGGGGCAGTGCGTTATCCCTCCTGGAAGTTTCCCAATAAAGTGTCCTGTGATCTGGATCTGGTGGCTTTGCTGGAGCATTATGACTATGTGGAGAATGACCCTGAATGTACCCAGCATTCCCATGTAATGCTCCTCGAACTGGTGATTGACAGGTGAGAGGATGAATACATCTCAGATCTGTTAAAAGGTTGATCAATGGACATCCCCAATTCCTTTCAGAAATGCCTGTTGGGAAAACACTACATTCATACAGACAACATATCTGTGTTCAGGTCTTTAGAATCACATGCATCTGGAAAGCACGGAAAATGTTTCTGTATGCAGCCACTTATCGATGGCTGAGCAGCTGTATTTCTTCTTTGAGAAATGTCTCTGCAGATCCCTACTGATAGGATATCTGCCCCTGGCACCATGAGCATAGATCTGCATGTGCAGTATATTCAAAGAACTTGAACGGCTTTTAGCTATCTAGCAGCATTTCCCTGAAATTCTCTTCGGGGGGGGGTTGGTAGCAACATATTTTAAGGTTGCCTGACATTTCCCATTTTAAGAGCCAGTTTTTAGTTACAAAGAGTCCTGTCGCACCTTATAGACTAACAGATGTATTGGAGCATAAGCTTTCGTGGGTGAATACCCACTTCGTCAGACGCATGACGAAGTGGGTATTCACCCACGAAATCATAGAATCATAGAATATCAGGGTTGGAAGGGACCTCAGGAGGTCATCTAGTCCAACCCCCTGCTCAAAGCATGACCAATTCCCAACTAAATCATCCCAGCCAGGGCTTTGTCAAGCCGGGCCTTAAAAACCTCCAAGGAAGGAGATTCCACCACCTCCCTAGGTAAAGCATTCCAGACTGTGCACAGGTCATATCTACAGAGTGACTGAGCATGCTCCATCCCCTCACAGTTCCCAAGTGTGACTGGACTGTGCATGCCTCATTCAGTGGACAGAATGGACCTGCTCTGGGGATGAATCAGGACTGTATAATGAAGGAGCCTGTAAGGTGTTTAGTGAGTGAGGCAGAGGATTGTGGGAAGAGAAAGGAGGGCTTCGTGGTTCAGCGAGTTGAATGCTACCCTGGAGAATTGGATTCTATCCCTCCCTCTCCCACAGAGTTCCTATGCAGTGTTGGGCAAGTCACTTAAACCAAAGTTTTCACAGGTGGTCCCTAAGTGTGCTCCTCATTTTCGGGGTGCTCAACATGAGAGTCTGGGGCTTGATTTGCATTAGTGCTGAGCACTCCCAGTTGCAACTGACGTCAATGGGAGCTGTGCTTTGAACATCTAAAGTGCTATATAATAAGTATTTTGAAAAATCAGGTCGTAGGTGTCTCAAGTTGGGCACTTAAAACTAGTGGATACTTTTGCCCTGTGTCTCAGCTCTGCAGGAGTCTTGTGAAGAAAAGTTTGCACAGCAGCTACTGTCGTGCTGAGCGTCATAGAAAAGTCTATGAGGAAATTAATAATTCAGTCTTCAGAGCAGGGTTTGAATGATGTGCAGTGAACAAGGCCTGGGGCCACACATTGAACAACAAGGATAAAACAAAATATTGAGTAACAGCTCACCCAGTGAGCACTGTCCATCATGTACACTGAATGAGGCAGAGGTTCTATGGAAAAAATGGCAGGAGATCATGTAATTAAGGACTGTGCATTGGCACAAGGGGGCCAAATTAAGAATATGCAGACAACCTTCATTTTGGCATTTCCTAACTTTTGGGTGCTTGACTTTGCAACCTTGACAATGTTCTTTTAACATAGATTTTGTGTGCAATGTACAGAGGGTTTGTGAGTAGAGATTTGACAGTTACTTTGTATTTCTAGAACACTTAATTTGTTCAAAATGTTTTACAGCCATGAACTAATTAATCCTCACAGCCTCTCATCTGCTTATTGTAGATGAGTGTTGTTATCCCCGCTTTGCCAATTGGGAAACTGAGGCACAAGTGAACTCAGTTGCTCAAGGCCACCCAGCTAGTGAATGGCAGAGCGGGGATTGGAACCGCATTTCTTGAGTACCTCATCCACTAGCCTGCATTGACTTTTGGCATATATAGTTATCAATACAGATGTCAGTTTTATATTTTTAATCATGGCTTAATCACTAGGCATTTGGGAAGTGAAGGTGCTTTTTCCATTGGCTTGAAGTAAAATGGTGCTTAATTTTTAAAAAAGTAACTCTCAGTGCAGCTTCTCAAGGCTGGGCCCGAGGGGTTGGCCTGTATGGGAGCTTTGGGGCTTTACCTTTGTGAAGGCTTCTTTTACTTTTCTTATAAAGAAAAGTAAAAGAAGCACCTCTGTAAAATCAGGATGGAAGGTAATTTACAGGGTAATCAGATTCAAAACACAGAGAATCTCCCCTCTAGACAAAACTTTAAAGTTACAAAAACAGGGATAAACCTCCCTCTTAGTACAGGGAAAATTCACAAGCTAAAACAAAAGATAATCTAACACATTTCCTTGCTATTACTTACTATTTCTGTAATAAAAGATGCTTAGTTCAGATATGGCTTAGGGAGATGTTTTTTCCCTGCATTGGTTCCTCGTTGACCCAGAGAGAACACAAAGGAACACAAAACAAAAACCTTCCCCCACAGATTTGAAAGTATTTTCTCCCCTTATTGGTCCTTTTGGTCAGGTGCCAACCAGGTTATTTGAGCTTCTTAACCCTTTACAGGTAAAGGAGGGATTAACCCTTTACAGGGTAAGGAGGGATTTTATGCTACCCTTAGCTGTATGTTTATGACAAGTCTCATTTAGGATCTCCTTGAATTCACCCACCAGCTGGAAGGCCTAATCACTGGGCCAAAGGGGGACCTACCCCCACATACCCCATCTACTTGCAGAGGGCATGGCTTTGAACCTGTGCCGCTGGGAGAGGACAGTCAGGCCCTGAACTTGGAGGAATGTTGCTCCATAGAGTGACCCAAAACTGGAGAGTTGCACAAGTGGTGACCCATGACTGTCCAGCCCCCTGGGGTACAGAGGGTCCATCTGCCTTGTTTCCACCCCCAAACAGCCTAGGAAGCTGGGGTTCCCCTCTGGGGTATTTTGTGTGCCAAATGCTAACCCTGGGCCACCTCCTTATATCGTTCCTCAACTTGCAGGGTAGTAGTGACCTACAGCAAAAAGCCCGCTCCCAGAGAGAAATTTCATGCAGCTCTAAGCCGCGGTTTGTTTCTGTCAAAAAAGGCTGCTTTTGCTGCTTCAGAGCTTCACAGGCTACATGGAGAATCTCATCAGCGAACAAGCTGTGCCCCCCTCCCAGGCAGTGGGACCCTGCATGTCCATTGGGCTGGCTGTGAGGAAGTACTGGAACAGCACACTGAAACTGGGAGCACTCCATCAGCAGCTAGTGACTGAGGTAGGATGTGCCCTAGCGATGCTGGGACCTATGTCATATAGGATTTGCTATACTAAACCAGATCGTGGTTGAACCTTCAGTGATCAGATTACACTTCGAAGCATGGGCTTTGATTAACCTCATCTAATGCTCAGAACTAGCTAACATGATATTAATGGCTGTAAATATTAGCCAGCCCCTTTTAAAATCCAGCTACTGTATTTAGCTCTCTGGCCTGCTGCAGCAGGGAGGTCTGCTGGCTGCCTACATGCAGTGTGATCAAGTAATGCCTTTTGTTTGAAATTTATCTTACTTTTTTCAAGTGACCCTTTGTTCTCCTATTATGGGGCAAAAAAGGGGCACTAATCATTGCCCCCTTTGCAACCTTAACACTGTTCCTCAGTCACGTTCCCTGGAATAATTCTCTTTCCCAGGATAAATAGTCCCAGTATTTGCCAGACCACCTCCCAGGGGAATCCGGCCAGGTCTCTTTGTAGCCCCTCTTTGAACCTATTCAATCTCAGAAAAATGTAGCAAAGGTGACGCTACTAAACCTGATCGCAGACTCCCACTGACATTCCCTCCAGTGAGGATGTGCCAGGGTTCAGTCAGGCTTTATTGGTGTTGTACTTTTGGTCCTGTCACCAGCAGTGAAGCAAAGGGGTCTCTATTGAGTTAGAGGAATTATTTGTTTCCCGTTTCCTGTGTTCCATTTTTAAAAATGGGCACCATTTTACAGGCTTTCCAGACCAATTTTGGAGCATCTGTTCTGTGAAGATAGTTGAGAATAATTTGTTTAAACGTGATAGCAAATGTCTTCATTCTCCTATGTTTTCTCTCTAATAGAAGAAATCTAACAGGAGGGACATCTCCGCACTGAAGTCTACCCTGCAAGACGTGAAAGCTGAGAATGAGCGTTTGAAAAGCTGCTCACCCATGATTTCAGAATCAGGTGCATCATTAGCCAGTGCCCAGTCAACCCTCTCATGTCTACCACAAACCATCCATGGGCCAGACTGTGATTTCTCAGACACCTCGCAGCCACGGTCTGCATATGGTGTCACCAGGAATGTCTGTAGTGTCCATTCTCAGACAATTGAGTCATCTCTGGTGCCCTGTGATGCATGTGCAAGTGGTCAGGCCAGCCTCCGGGAGGTCGGTAAAGCCATCATCAGCATCTGCCACAGCCAGAACATCCCCTCGTCCCTGGGCAAATTCCAAGAGATGGTTGAGGAGACCCTAGGCAACAAGCCACTCACCGCTATGGACATGAGTTTCTGGGCATCAGAACAGAGCAAAGACCTCTCCCGTATCAACAAACATCTTGGGGGGCTGATGCAGCTGATAAACCCTTTGAAGGCAGAGCTGGAAGAATCTGAGAAACAGAAGGATGAACTGAGGAAGCAGGTTGAGGACTTTGACAAGCTTCTTCAGAAGGAGAATGAGACCCAGGAACGGCAGAGGAAGGAGGCTGAGCAGTACTTGGAGGAAAAGATCAAAGAGAATTTGCAGATCACAGCCAAAATGGAGAAGGACAAGGAAGATCTACGGACAGGTGCAGTGCCAGTCCCAGCTTGTCCCTAGTCAATAGGTGTTTTCATTAGACACAACCAGAGTCCCATGGAACTCAGTGGGAGTTTTGCCATTGACTTCAATGGGACTAGGATTTCACCCCTTGATAGTTGATTATTCCCTTTAAATTAACTCTTCTGTTCACAAATCTCTTCTTTCTCTGGGTTTTTGGTGGCCGAGAGGGCAGATATTGCAGACTCCCTACTTCACTTCTGCTTCTGGAGGGGTGGCTGTTTCCTACTCACTCTCACCTTCTGGGTCCTTTTATTCCCTGCTGCTCTCCATCCTCTGGTCATCAGTGCTTGCTCACTGCGCCTGGCAAGCCGCAAATGCTCTACATACAAGCTGATGGGGCGGGCGGGGGGCTTTTCAGAACAGTACAACAGGCCTTGCTGTAATGTATCTAACTCACTAGCTCATAAAGAGGCCATTCAAAGGGAGGGAGAAATCCTCCCTAGGGGTCAATATGGTATCTTCACAATATGCTTGATCATCTACCTGATCCTCACCAACCTAAAGAGTGAGAATACAGGTGACCTGAGTCTGTTGATGCAGCTGTGCCAGTGGGTGACATCTCTCTCTCGCTCTCTTTCCCCCCCCCCACACACTTGGTGTGATGATATGAAGTGTTTATTGGGATTCTGGCATTGGTGATGAGTGATGCATTATGTAGCTTGTCCCTAATGAGTGTCAATAAAACCTTGGCCCCATCCCATCCTGTGTTCTGTAGGTGTCACATCTGTTTCCAGAAAAACTATTTCACAACTTTTTTCAAGAGTTTTTTTAAACACATAAATTTTCCATATCCCTCTGGCTGGAAGGTCAGGTGTCTTAAGACCAGAAGTTCAGTAAATAATAAAGATGATCAGCGATGTCGTTTTTCCTGGCTCCTCCATTTGTGAAGCATAGAGTGATGCACTCATTTGATGAGAAATGCCATGGTGTGATAGTTATGTGTAGATAAGTGCTGTAAACGACCTGGGAGGTCCTTGCTAAGTCGTTTGTTCTGGTTGCTTTAGGAGCTGTTGTGCTGGAGGAGAGAATTTCCACCTTGAAAGAAGAGCTGCTGTCACAGCAAGCTACCATGCGAGAGCTGGGTAAGAATTCTCATGGGCTCATCCATCCAACTGATCTCATCCATAGACTTTATTCTCCTCTCACGCTGTTTTTACACCAGTGTAGTTCTGTTGACTTTAGTGGAGTCGCTCCCGATTAGCACTGGCGTAAGTGAGAGGAGAATCAGCACCAATGTATTTAAATGACCTCCATCGTTGTAGTATCTGAGTGCCTTCTAACCTCCACTGCCCAGGTAACACACTAGGGAAAATCCTGGGGGCTGGGGCAAGATCCCATGAGCCTCTCAGAATCTCAGCCACTTCAGCACAGGGAACAGCAAACTTGAAATCCCTAGGAAGAGAAGCCTTGGGGCTAGGTTATTCCTTACAGGTTGTGGGGAGAAGCTGTGCTGCAGTGGGAGCCACAAATGGACTCCTGGCTGACTTCCAAAATTCCTCCCAAGGCTCTTGGTTGACGGTTCTCTGCCACCCATCAGATGGGTATAGCAGTGCTCCCCCTGCACCAAGCCAGCTCTTGGTACAGAGGTAGGCCCGTGGCTTTGGGAAGACTAATGCCAGCATGATGCAATCTCTCTGCTTCCTGCTTACACAAGGGGAAGGCTCCATGTGCCACCTTCCCTCATCTCATGCACCCATGCAGAGCCAGCCACAGTGTGGCCCTTAAAGACTAACAGTGAAGCCTGTCTACCAGGCTGATACATGAATGTGTTTGCCCTGGGGTGCTAGCACCATGTGTTGGGACTCACAAGGTTGCAGGCCCAGGTGAGGACGGTGGCTAGCCTTCTGGGAGGGGATCTATTAGAGAATTTAAGTCATGCCAGAAAGCTTCCTCTCCCCTCGCTCATCCACTTCCCACAGGATCATGGAACCTGGGGAAGGAAGAGCCCATCTTTCCCATTTCCCCCATTATGAGCTCCACCCATCCACAGCATTGGTTACAGGATGTTGTGTATTCACAGAGCTGACCAAAAGCACCCTGCTGGAGGAGATGAGGACTAAGATGGCCCACAAGAGCCAGATGACGAAGCTGGAAGACCAAGTGCAGCTGCTAACCAGCCAGTTGGAGAACGCAAGCCACGCACTCAGTGGGGCCACCACCCAGCTGGACAAGGAGAAGGCCAAAGTGGAAAGCATGCTCAGGCATGAGGAGGTGTGGCCATGGGAGGAACCGGACCTGTTGCTCCCTACCTTACCCGAATCTAACTCCCTTCTACTCTCCACTAGGCCATCTCTGGCTGGTCCTGGTCCGTGCTGCTCTATCCATACCTCTCCCGTCATCCCGGCTCTTCTGTTCTGCTCCTGCTGCTGCTGCCCAGCCTTGTTTTCATTTAAGACTTATGCCAGGATTGTAGACAGGGTCTCTGTGGGAAGCTGAGGGCTCAGCTCAGTGTTCCTGCTCCCCTCCCCGCCCCGCGTTGCTTTGCTTGTACTTCCCTGGCAATACCTTGTGCTATCCCTTTGTTCAAGAGGTGAGTATCGGACAGGCAGAGAGGAGCTGTGCACCTGAGCAATGTTGCCATCTTACTTGTGCACCGTCACCCTTACCTGCAGGGGAGCTGCCTTCTGAAAGCAGCCTGTCTGATGGATGGTTGCAACTTACTTACCTTCGTCAGTATCCCCTCTGTGCCTATTTCATACCCTCAGCGCAGGGGCATTTTGCTGTCAGTAACAAGCTCACTTTTGAAAATGGCCACTGATCAATTCCAGCATTCCAGGGAGCGCTCTAGGCACAGGTGGGCAGGGCCCCATGCTTTTGGTGAAAGCTGGAGAAGCCTGATCTCCCCTAGAACCAGGCCCACTGGCAGACATGCCAAACCCGCAAAAAACTGCAGAAATTGGGCTTGGTTTTGGCTTAATTGGCTTGTGAGTTGCTTGTTGGCTAGTTTTTGGCT